GAGAGGTCTGTCCACTGGAAGCTGGATCCTAGTCTTGGGTCCAGGGTGGGTGGAGGACAGCAAGACCCCAACCAAACTGGGTCAGTTTGTGGGGTTTACGGTGGTTATGGTGTCCAGTGCGTAGCTTATGGTACTCAAGGATCACCAGGAAGGAGCAACTGACGGAGGTACCCTGTCGGGGTGCCAGGCGGTCCGTCACAGAAGGTACGGTCCATATGTGGTTGCGAGAGGGAAGAGCAAAGGGGAGAGAATTATTTCCTTAACTGTTCAATCTTGTCAGTAAAGTAGCATGCAAGGCTATCTGCTGAAAGGTCAGTTTGAGGGGAGGCGTGAGGTGGGCGAAGGAGAGAGATAAAGGTATTAAAGAGACGCCTGGGATTGCGTGAGCATGAACAAACAAGAGAAGAAAAGTAGGATTGTTTAGCAAGGGTGAGTGAGGGCTGTGCTATATGAACACAAAATGAATTTATAATGGAGGAAGTCTGACAAGGTGCGGGACTTCCTCCAGCAGAGCGGAAGCATCTCTGCAAGTAGCGGGTCGATTTAGTGTGCCAAGGTTTGAGACGCATCTACTTGAGGTGCATCTTTGGAGCGGGGCTGCAGCGTCCAAGGTGGAGGTGAGGGTAGCATTATATGAAGAGATAGCCAGAAAGGGACAGGAGAAAGTGGGGATGACAAAGTTTGGAATGGAGATCAGATGAGCGTTGTTGGAGGTCAAGATAATACAGGTCCCTTCTGAATTGAGGGGGGTTAGGGTCAGGGAGCTTTCAAGAACAAATCATAAGAGGTTGTGATCTGAGAGAGGAAATGGTGTGTTGTGGAGCTTAGAGATAGTGCATGCATTAGAAATAAAAATATTGAGGGTATTGCCAGCTACATGTTAAAATCCCCAAGAATTAGGGAAGGGATATTACTTGAGATGAAGTAGGGAAGTCAAGCAGAGAAATGGAACCATATTTTTATATAAAGGTGTATCATATATTACATAATATTATATTTCAATTTTTAATACCAATCAAAAGGTTTATTTGATATTAGCATATTTTGTTTTAACCACAATATGTTAATTATATGCTTATTATATGTATAACCTTTTTAATGGTCATTCAACAATGATTCAGTCTTTTAAACCAATTTTCTGTCTGCTAATCTTGTACCATAAATCCCACATAATGACTTGTATTGATCTGTACAACAAAGAGTTAATGCATAGCCTCAAAGATCCAGCAGGCTATTTAAACACTCAGACTCCGTACAGATGTCAGCCTCGGACCAAGGGAGTTTGAACTAAACGTGTAAGGACTTTTCCTGCATCTGCCGCCAAAATCGTTTGACTACCGAGTTGTAGTGGAACGCAGGAGGAGAGAGCAGTGGCACGCAGGAAGAGAGAGCAGTGGCACGCAGGAAGAGAGAGCAGTGGCACGCAGGAAGAGAGAGCAGTGGCACGCAGGAAGAGAGAGCAGTGGCACGCAGGAAGAGAGAGCAGTGGCACGCAGGAAGAGAGAGCAGTGGCACGCAGGAGGAGAGAGCAGTGGCACGCAGAAGGAGAGAGCAGTGGCACGCAGAAGGAGAGAGCAGTGGCACGCAGAAGGAGAGAGCAGTGGCACGCAGGAGGAGAGAGCAGTGGCACGCAGGAGGGGGGAGCAGTGGCACGCAGGAGGGGGGAGCAGTGGCACGCAGGAGGAGGGAGCAGTGGCACGCAGGAGGAGGGAGCAGTGGCACGCAGGAGGAGAGAGCAGTGGCACGCAGGAAGAGAGAGCAGTGGCACGCAGGAAGAGAGAGCAGTGGCACGCAGGAAGAGAGAGCAGTGGCACGCACACGGCACTTCATACACATCTACCTTCAAACCGGCCGGAGTGAAGGTCCGTGACAGCCACACAGAGCCTCTCACAATACGCTCGTTTTTATCCTACAAATTGTGAGTGATTCTAATGAAATATACCTAATAAACACATGTTAAACAGTGAGCACTATGGTTTTCCATCTTACTGTTTTGTAGAATTGTGTTAAATATTTGGATTGACACAGTTCAAGGAAACACTGATAGTACTAGAATATGTTCGCCTGTTTCAATAAACCCCAGCTGTGTCAATAGCTGGAGCCATCTGATCTCTCCATAGACTGTATCAATTGCACAAAATAGTGACTTTGTGATAATAGTTTATTAAAAGACTGGGACTCAGTGGCGGATCCAGGGGGGGCAACGGGGCAATTGCCCCCCCCCGAGAAAATAGTGCAGCTGCCATCAGTTGAGGGACCTCATTAGGGGCTCGGTCGGGTGCTGCAGCCCTTTGGCAGACCGGGCCCCTTTAAAGTTGCAGGGAGTGCTGGGAGGAAGTGACTGTTACTTCCTCCCAGCATACAGACCGCGCGGGCTGAGAACACCCAGGATGCAGCTGGGAGAGAAGACACAGGCAACAGGCAGCTGGGAGAGAAGACACAGGCAGCTGGGAGAGAAGGAGGAGGGAGGAGAGAGAGCTCTGCAGCTTCAGACTCCCATCAGGCTCAGGAAGTCACCTTCCTGCAAAGAAAAAGGTATTTAAGCAGAGGGGAGAGGGGAGGGTGCTTAACATTATGGAAGCTGCAATTTGTGTGTGTGTCAGTGTGTATGTTTATGTATGTGGACATCTGTGTGTGCCAGTGTGTATGTTTATGTATGTGGACATCTGTGTGTGCCAGTGTGTATGTTTATGTATGTGGACATCTGTGTGTGTCAGTGTGTATGTTTATGTATGTGGACATCTGTGTGTGCCAGTGTGTATGTTTTAGACATGTGGACATCTGTGTGTGCCAGTGTGTATGTTTATGTATGTGGACATCTGTGTGTGCCAGTGTGTATGTTTATGTATGTGGACATCTGTGTGTGTCAGTGTGTATGTTTATGTATGTGGACATCTGTGTGTGTCAGTGTGTATGTTTATGTATGTGGACATCTGTGTGTGCCAGTGTGTATGTTTATGCATGTGGACATCTGTGTGTGTCAGTGTGTATGTTTAGGTATGTGGACATCTGTGTGTGCCAGTGTGTATGTTTATGTATGTGGACATCTGTGTGTGTCAGTGTGTATGTTTAGGTATGTGGACATCTGTGTGTGTATGTTTAGATATGTGTACATCTGTGTACATCTGTGTGTGTCAGTGTGTATGTTTAGGTATGTGTGTATGTGTGCATCTGTGTGCCAGTGCGTATGTTTAGGTATGTGGACATCTGTGTGTGTATGTGTGCATCTGTGTGCCAGTGCGTATGTTTAGGTATGTGGACATCTGTGTGTGTCAGTGTGTATGTTTAGGTATGTGGACATCTGTGTGTATCGGAGTGTCAGTGTGTGAATCTGTGAGTGTTAATGTGTATCTGTGAGTATGTATCTGTGTGTGTACCACAGACACCGTCGTCCACTGCACTCAGGTTCCGCTTTTCACTCTGGTCCACAGCCTCAAAGGTGCTCTGGAATAGATAGACACTGCTAATCCGTCCAACAATACAAGGTAATAGAATATACAGGCAACACACCAGGTACCGAAGGTGTATTTATTGGAGGGTAGAACACCACATAAAAGTGCAACTTTTCAGCCCTAGAGGGACTTAAACATGATTAAGGCCCCCAAGGGCTGAAACGTTGTTCTACCCTCCAATAAATACACCTTCAGTACCTGGAGTTATGCCTGTATATTCTATTACCTTGTATCTGTGTATGTGAAGGTATGTGTGTCATTCTGTGTATGTGTAGGGATGTGTGTGTGTGTGCGGTTTCGCTAGTGTGCATGTGTAGGTATGTGTGTATCTATGTGCCAGTGTGTGTGTGCCTGTGTAGGTATAGGTTTGTATCTGTGGGTGTGCCAGTGTATGTGTCTGTATCTGTTATTGTGTTTCCATATCACTGTGTGTGGCCACATATGTGTACAGCCTCTATCCCCTAAACAAGAGTCCCCTATTCCTCCGCTGCAGCCTGTTTCACCCCGCTCTAGCCCACTTAAGTGCCCCTCCCGAGATTTGGTTCTGGATCCGCCCGTGCTGGGACTTGTAAATTATTACCACTTAACATTGGGACTATCAACCTGATATATATTGTGGTTATCCAACTTTTATATTTCTTAAAGGCATATTACATCCACCATAACTACTCCTGGTAATCTATCAGATTGAATCTAATCATTTTTCTTTTACAGAAATGGTCAAGGAACAGACTAGGGAAACCAGGGGGGCAAACGATAAGAGCTATGTTAGCAGAGATGGGTTTGAACAGACAAATTGAGTGAATTTCAAAGGCGGAGAAAGATGGGGGATGGGGGGAGAAGGGCAGAGTTTTAAAAGGAGCAGTGGGGTGAAAGAACTGTCCTGGTGACCTCATACATATATAACATTATAATAAATATTATAATAATAAATAACATAATATAACAAACAAACACTATAACAATAATAATACCCTCTCGCCCTCTCACCCTCTCGGCATATGGCCGCAGTTCGTCCGCCCGGGCCCAGGTTGTCTCGATCCGTTCATGTCTGACTAGCGCGGTGAGGAGGTTCCTGAGGAGATCGAGCCTGGAGCGAGGACCGAGCCCGATCCGCCGAGCGACTCTCCCGTGAGAGATCAGGAGCCCCGGGAACAACCGCATGTCGGTAGCAAGGACACACCTCCCCGGCTTCCGTACAGCCAAACTATAACCTCCCCGGCTTCCGTACAGCCAACCAATAACCTCCCGGGCTTCCGTACAGCCAACCAATAACCTCCCCGGCTTCCGTACAGCCAACCAATAACCTCCCCGGCTTCCGTACAGCCAACCAATAACCTCCCCGGCTTCCGTACAGCCAACCAATAACCTCCCCGGCTTCCGTACAGCCAAACTATAACCTCCCCGGCTTCCGTACAGCCAACCAATAACCTCCCCGGCTTCCGTAC